AAGGGCTTGTTTTGATGAATATGTAGACATTGGATGAACTACCACTCGAAGCAGAGACAATTGAGAGGGGATAAAAATAAAAAAGAAAAGAAAAGAAGCAAAAAAGTAATAGATTAACAATACATCACATCGGTTAATTAAAATCTGAGATGAATAGAAGTCTTGCCAAGCACTTGGCTTGATGTTCCTCAGGACTGGGAAAATTGTTAATTCGGAAGCTATTCAATAAACTGCCCATTTTCTTTTCAAAAATAAATGTGAAGACATGTACAACGCGGTCAAGGATTCAAACAAACTTCAGCTCGAAAAATATTGAAATGGACTCATCTTTGCTTAATTTATTTGTAGACGTACATTTCAGTTCGTTTTTAAACAGATATTTGCACATTAAGAACATCTCGATATTTCTAAAAGTTTTTCTCCAATGAAATTTGAGAGACATCCAAACTGTCCAGATCTGCCATCCAATTTTGCTGAATTCAAGCTGTAGACAAAGAATCTATTTTTTTGATTATACTCGAAACAAGAATCCATCCAATTAATTCTTAACATGTTATTAATAATTAATATGTTATCTCAAATTTACTCTCATTAACTTCGTCACGAACCCAATGAATTGATGATGTGTCAATAATCAATTGAATGGACAGTAGATCTCAATTCAAAACCTATTCATTTACCAAATTTAATGTTTATTGAAAAAATAGGCGAACTTTCATTTATTAATATCACACCTAATGAAAATTGCAAATATTCAACCCTGTTATATGCAATCAGAGAAAAATTATCACCGTCTCTTGAGCATTTTTCTTGCACTAAAAATACGGCATCAAGCAAAATTAGAGCAAAGAGGGCCCAATGGCACGTCGCATTCCGCAATACCAACCCAAAGTCCATCAGCTTAGCAAAGCATAAGCCAATTCGAAGTGCAAGAGTTTCACCATCAAGCACAAGCAGCCAACACCTAACTCGATTAATCTCTGATCGCCGCTCCAGGCCACCCTTCATCAGCCTCGATCACTGCATCAGAATTCAAGATCAAAGCACCGGAGCCCATCATCATCAATCAGTTGACATGTTTGCTGCCTCAAGAACCAAGGGGCCTCCAGCAGCTTGCCTCCATAAGCAACCCAATTCCTATATCCCCAGATGGTACAAAGGAAACTGTCAAAAATGGTGTACTTCAAACGCCTGAGACAATGAAAGATATTAATGATGGAGTCATCGAGCAAGCGCCCACCCCATATTTCACCACTCTTGACAGTCCCTGCCAGCCTTCAAACTCCGCAACTAGCCAAACAAGTGAAGAAAATGTGAGTATTCGCACACTGTAAAGACAGGAGCCTTTCAATATATATTTTTCATCCTAGTCGACGAGGCATAATGGGAAGCTCGCCAAATAAAAAATTTAACTTTGGGTGACAGTTTGAAACCCCAAAATTCATTCCACCACCGTCATCAGGAATCCGTTGCTCAGCCCTTCATTACTATTACATCCAAGCAGCAAAAGATGAAATTCCCATGCGAGTTCGTGATTTTATTTTTATTTTTTAAAAATTAAGACAATCCATTGAAGACCTTGACTGTCTATTTGTTATACATAAATGCCACGTGGACAACTAGCCTTTCAACTTGTATACTACCTAGACGGCAATCCGTAGAATGCATTGGAGATTCTCTATGATATGGGGGTGTTTCCAGCCAATCATTTTCTTATTTCTTCGTACTTCCATTCACAAAACAAAATAAACATCATGTACAGAAAGGAGCAATACGTCAACATATTTACAAGTTCCTCATTAGAGGGTTGTATTACAGCTCCAGACCTACATTTACATTCACTTCATGATAAAACATCAAGTTTTGACAATCCGGTACTACACCCAAATAGAAAACAAACAAGAAAGCCTAGATATGATACCAATGATACAGAGAATTATGTGTACAATCTCACATAAAAAGTTGAGAGATATTCCACAGGTGTTTCCAGGTTATCAACACCTTACTCTAATCGCAAATGGCACTCAAATAACTGCAGGGAACATAATTTCTATCTTACCGACTACTGTTCAGCAGTCAAGGCCAAATTGTCACCATTATAAGTTGTCACGGGCTTAGCAGCAGGTGTCATGTTATCTCCACCATTGCTCTGCAAAGAGTGAACCATAAAAGGAACTGTAAGTAAATAGACACATCAAATTTTTATCATTATAATTTCAAGGAATCAGGATAAATTTTGTGGCCGAGTACAATTTTCTGTTCAGAGGTAACGTACAAGTTCACTAGCCTTCGGAGTATGATGTTGGGCTCCAACTGGAACTTTAGAAAGGTCTCTTAAGACTCCCTGCAATATTTAGAGATTCAACACGAGTAGATAAGAAAAATGAAAATTTGGAAATATTCTTCCTTTTTTGACCCAATAGAAGAAAATGACATAACATAGATTCTTCTGAAATCCATTAAATAAAATAAAATAAATTGCATCTATGTCAGCAATGGGTTGCAGATCCCAGACTAAAAGATCTCCACATGCAACACATAATATGTTGTTTCTTAGTTAAAACAAAGAAACCAACAAACAGCAGAAGAGAAAAGACTAGCAAAAGAATTCACAGTCAAGAAAATTGTTTCAGGTTCACAATCGAATAGATAGGTATAATCAGATAGAGAATGAATTCAATGAAGCATACATGCACAAATTTGACCAACAGGCTGTTGAATAAAAGAGAGCAGTGGTAATATAATCACTGTTACGGCATGCAAGTGAAGCTTAGATTCAACGGGGCGAGTTTTATAATCCTGCGGAAAGCACATGAAAAGCATGTTTACATGCTCTCGTTTCTGGATGTTTTGGCGTGAATATTCATACAAATGCAAATTTTTATTTCTCCAGATTAAGTACCTGCCGTAAATTTGAGGATATGCAGCAACAAGGTTGGACAGGAGCTGTAATTATTTAAGGCCACTCTAAACAACGAGTGAGGAAAACATCAATATTAATATAAGCTGACCTTGTTGGCCCACTTGAGACCGCAAGCATTGCACAATGTCCTCGGTCCATGTGGTCCACGACGCATCATAGGGGTTGACTTTGAGCTTGTTCCACAATGCCTACATCTGTTAAGCGGTAGGAAAACGAAACTTAATTCTTAAAAGACAACAGAAGCTAGAGTAAATATCCATACAACTCCAATGCTTAGTTCAATCATTTCATCTTCTAATACTAGAATAATAACAAGGAAAGAAAATGAGTAGTTAATGATTAATTAGATTCCATCAAGTAACAGAACCAGAAAAGTTCTGAAAGAATAATGGCACTCACAAAGTTTCGTGTCCTTCTAGACCAGAACTTCCACTCCAATCTGCAGGTGATGGACCCGGTTCATCAGAAAGCAACTTGGACGATGTAAACTGACCTTTCTTACGCTGCATCCTGACAGGTTTCACAGTGTATAAGTGAAACAAAATGAGATTTGAAATGAACAAGTTAATAAGAATCTTCTTGCTAAACAT